GCTCTAGACATATTAAAACACAGAACTAAGCAGCTTTTGAAATAACAGACCCTTAAGAACTAGGAATAGATAGCACTGGAACACTGTTGTATAGAGGGACAGAGTGCCCCTCAGGTTCAAGGGCACTCAAAATGTGACGAAGGAAGAGCTACTGCCTCCAAATCAAGTCTACCTTAAAGCAGATAAAGGACCTATTTTTGAGACACAAAATGAGGAGAAATAGTGTTGAACATTTATTAATGAATGAATGAGGAATGTAAAGATGTATGAATCTAGGAAATTAGAAGTTGTTGAAAAGAAATGGAATGCATAAAGTTCGACATCTTAGGCTTTAATGAGTTGAGATAAAGTGGTACACAATGTGTGTGTGTGTGTGTGTGTGTGTGTGTGTGTATTAGGAATGACAAACTAAGAAGAAATGGTGTCAAATTCATTTTCAAAAAGAACATTTCACTATACATCCTGAACTATAATGCTATCAATGATAGGATAACATCCATATGCACACAAGGAAAAATGTTAACTGTTACTCAAATATACATGTCAATTATTAAAGCACATATTGAAGAAATCGAGATTTCTACTAATTTTTACAGTCTGAAACTGATTAAACATGTAAACAAGACACAGTAATAATAATAATCAGTAAGTGGAATGCAAAAGTTAGAAATAAAGAAAGACTGGTAGATGGAAAATTTTGCCTTCATGACTGAAATGAGGCCAGAGATTACAAAATAATAGAATTTTGTACATTCAATGGTTTATTCATTGCTAATATATTTTTTAAAAGCAAAAGGTATGGGAATTGAGAACACTTAACTGTGCTCATCTGTACACAGACCAAGAAGCAGTTGTTGGAACAGAATAAGGGGACACTGAAAGTTGTGCTCAGAGCTGTACTCTTTCTCTACACTTTTATACAAAATCTGTATGCTGAGCAAATCAAATGAGGAGATGGTGAAGGTGGCATCAGGTTTGGAAAAAGATTCATCAACAACACACACACACACACACACACACGGCATAATCTAGACTGCAGAAAGTAAAAATTTGAAGTACTCACTGAAGATCAGACTACAGCCTTCAATATAGATTATAGCTCAACATCAATAAAACAAAAATCCTCATTATTGATCAATAGTCAACATCATAACAGATAAGGAAAAGATTAAAGTTTTCAACAATAAAAGTGAAGGCCAAGGGTAAAAGTCCCTCTTGCCACTAGTGTAATTAAGAAATCTGGCAAAAAATAAGCTGTTCTGAGGCAACGATGAACCCTACTTTTTTTCCTGTGTAAAACATCTGGATTATCTGCTGTAACATCTGTTGCCACTTGTAGTTAAAATGAAGTGTTGACTTGGAGCCTGTTTTACATTTAAGAATAAACTTCTCTAAAACAATGATGACAAAGAAACAAACAAAAGAAAAGTACAGGATCAGTGAAAGAGAGAAGAGCAAGAAGGAGCTGGAGTGACAGCGTGAATACAGTGATGGGCTGGAGGATGGCAGAGTTCATGAGGACCGTGCAGGGCAAGACAAAGTTTTGATGTATGTTCACAGGGATGCTGTGAGTTACAACTGACTCAACAGCACCTAACAACCACCAAAGAGCAGTTGTTGTTGT